TTGTTCGGCTCTGTACCCTGAAAGGTACCGCAAAAGCTTTTGAGGCTGAACACCCTCAGAGGAACCAATACCGCCGATAAGACTTGTAACCTGGGAAGTTCATTTCCCGCCTGCCCTAACTTGTGGGTTTTTTTTTTAATTTTTACTTGCGAGAAATTAAAATTGTGGCTCCGCCACCAGAAATCTCTTGCTCATGAATCCCGCCAGCTACGCAGGCTAATACACCCAGGAAATAACTCGTTTGAACCCAGGTTAACTACAAACTAAGGTAAACATTCTGAATACAGTTCAAACTGTGAGACGTCTTTTTAAGGCCGCTATGTGTTAGTAGCCTCTGGCACCTCGGCTAACTTGAGACATCCATTAGGAAAATATTCTAAGGGCAAATATTTCTGTATCTAGCCATTTTGAGAAGCGGTGGTGTCAAAAGGTATTATGGCCACTTGTGGTTGCGTTATTGCTTGATCGAACTTGATCGAACTTTGAATCCACAGTATTTCATCAAAAAACTTCTTCTCAAAATACTTTGTCTATATTGCCCGCCATTGTGAATCGTCACTATAGGGTCACAGAGTTGGGCTCGTTGCAGCCTCTTTGACCTTCTGTTATAATAAAGCACAGCATGAAACAATATTGTTTGTTGTACTATTCATTACTTTTTGTAATGCGTGCTTTTTATTTATTTCTTTATTTGTTATTTTGATAAAGGGAAGCAGCATTGGCGATCATCAATGATGACAACTGGATGGCAGCCATGAGAAATAAAACATGGGAACAGAATCACGTGACCACCCCATTAAGAAAGCTAATAATAAAACTTCCTGGTAAGTTGACATCATTTCCTTCCATCACTAGGGTTACATGAAATATCTCACTTAATTTGTTTATGACATATTTACGAGAAATGACATATTTACAAGAAATTAAGCCGAGTCTTGTAAGTCAGCATTGCGTTGTTTATAAATTTGCATGTGATACATACATACATACATACATACATACATACATACATACATACATACATACATACATACATACATACATACATACATACATACATACATACATACA